TGTATATAATTAATGAGCATTTAGTTCCACGATTTAATTAAATAAGATTTATGGATAACATTGAAGCCAGAGCGAGAGCAAGTCAGTTAAATATATACATATAGCATGTACTCAGTTGCAGAGTCCAAAGACTCTCAAAAAAGAAAAACTCGTATCGTCGCTTGCTTTGGCTGTGCGTTCAGATATATACAGCTATATAGCCGACATTTCCACTCCTCTCCTCGTAGGCGCACATTCGGTATACCCCTTCCACGCGTCTCCAAAATGTGCGCCTATATGGACATTTCCACGTGAATCCACTCTTCTTATACCCCTACCGTGCTTCTCAAATAAAAAAAAAAATGTGCGCCTGGTTCGGCCGCTTGGCCGCGGCGGGGCGCTCGAACCACTGGAAAAAAGTGGGCACACTCCGTAGCATGGCAGTCAGCAATCTCCCTACTAATCTCTGGCGGAAAGTAACAGCGGTTGCATCAGAGGGTCAAGAACACGGTGTATAAGATACACAGATATAGTCCCATGTACACGGAGAGAGCTCTGAATCTCTGATACTATCGTAGTATGTGTATCTGTAAGCTGTAAGTATACTACGGACTTACGGACTACCGGAACCGGAGTGCAAATAGTACAATGATTCTCATACGACAGTAGCGCCCGTGGAACGCAACGTTAGTATCGAGAGTCTGCTACGTCTGAACTCCGGTAGTATACAGAATTACAGATACGCAAACTAACATCGCATCAGAGCTCTCTCCAGGCAGGCATGATTTTTGTAAAATATTTCTGCTTCTTTATTTACGTTCCAGCCAGTGTTAGGTGGAGAGAATATGATTTTGTATTTTTATCACTAGGACCTATATGTAGCTACAGATCCTAGTAAGAAAAATGCAAAAGCTGAATAGGAGGAGGGAGGAAGCCAGTGATTCTTCCCAAATGTGACTGGCAAACATGCGGGAAATTCAAATTGGCTACATAGAGTAAAACGCAAATCCCCAGATAAGTCGACACAATTTCGTGCACAATAACTTAATAAACTAATCCCAAGCTATTCAACCCATTAACCCAACAGGCCAATAAGCAGTCTCATGAGTGTTAATAAATAATAAAATTTATTAATTAACAAAGCAAGCGCCAATCCCCACACGACGCTAAGCACTTACGAAACGCTTT